TCTTTATGCACATTTGCAGTTTGCTCCAAATTGCCTAAACAAAATTCGAATCCGGAATTAAGTATATCACGGTCTAACAGAAAACTAGCGTGAAACAGACACAGCAGTATTTTCCGGTTAAATCTTTTTCCCCTCTTATCCATAATTCCCCAATCCCCAAATCCCCAATCGCCATAATAATCGTCCATAACGTATAGGGCCAGCAACTCGCTTATGATTAGCTGTAACTCTTGGATGTTGCGGGTTTCATAATCTCAATTGCGTCCAATATATCCGTTTGTTTGTTTGAAACCGATTTCTTTTTCAGTTATTGTGACTTTATCGGTCTAGTGAGATTTTTTTCAGTAAAATATTAAATAAATTTGAACAATGAATCTGCAGGTATGACAATAAAAACATTTTTTGTTATAATTGTTGGAAAACGATGGTCAAGTTGGTTAAGTAGGTATAATTTTTAAAGGTATCATCTTTCCACAATAAAATTATGAAGTATTTAAGTATAGAATTATGTTATTTTATTAATTACGTACTTAACAGTGTAGGTAACTCAAAGTCGTTAAGTATAGTACCTATTTGACAAACAATAGAAGTTGAACCACTTTTTTTTAGTCCGTGAGAAAATGGAGCTTGTTTTCTGTGTCGTAAACCTACTTTTAGTAGACATAACATTAAAATTACATCCTGTATTTTGGACCTTGAATGTTTAGGCATATGGCTCAACAGAGCAAAGTGGAATAAACCGTCTACAACGCCCACTTTTCTTATTCTAATGACTAAGTGTCCATGTTGGACTTGGCCCATTCCACATTTCACGAACCAAATTTCTTTTATATAATTTACTGGCTAACCTCGCGCGGTTTCACCCGCTGCTCTTTCTTTGAAACCGCTGGTCGGATTTCCAAAATTCTTTCACTGATAGATAGTTACAATATTCCTGAGTGCTATAGGCTATAAAACATCACGCTATGATTAAATGGAGACGAGCAGCGGGTAAAACCGCGTGAGAGTAGCTAGTTTAAATAAATAGGCAAGTTGTAAGGCACGGCAGGTACAAGAAAAGCAAGCTTTTAGTTGAATGACGTAACAAACCTGTTCACTATTAGATAAGGCTGCTTTACCGGAATACATAACTTGTACATGAATTTCTAGTAGTTTGTATATTTTATTTCAAAAGTAGTTCAAAGTAGTAGGCATAAAAGTCAAATCAACTTTTTTTATATCAGTGAATTTTTTTTTGAGACGGGAAAGTCATCTGGTTTTTTTTCGGTATCGGATTGTGAAATCTTTATGGAGACCCACTGCCCTCGGGAAAGGGCGAAGGGTACCTACTGTCAGACTATTTCTGGCTAAAAACCAACCCGGTGTTCCTCCATTAACCCATGTGTGGGAGGAACGGATATTAGCGCCGATGCATTCGTCGCGTCAGGCGAGCCCCGTCACCCACTGCGTCCGTCAGCCCGAGCGCAGGACTCATGAGGCGCGCGCGGAATACGGCGCCGCCCGCCTCGAGGCCTGCTGCTGGTCGGATGACAAGACGCCCAGTGTCTGTCGTCCGCAGGCCTATTCATCTGGTGTCTTCTTTCGCCCTGGATCTTACTGACTAAACACCACCCAGTTTCTTCTCCTGATTCCGGGACCGCGGTACATTATTGTGCTTGACCCGCAACCTTAGAGTAATCTTTTAGTGTGGGAGAGCCAAGCTTCGCCACGAATGGAACGGCTCGACCGGAGTGATACCACGGCCTCACAGAAAACCGGAATTGAATTAACCAGAGTTGTGTTTCGTCGTGTGCGTGAGATTACCGGAGGCCCAATCCTTCTCCTAACCCAATCCGTTCGCTTTCCCAGAATCTCCAAATCCCTTATCCCCAAAAGGTCGACAACGCACTTGTAACTCCTCCGTCGTTGTGGGTGTCCATGGGCGACGCTGATAGTTTACAATCAGGTAATAGTTTGCTCGTTTGCCGACTTAACACATAAAAAAATGTGGAACGGTTAACTGCTTGACGAGATAACTCGACTACTTTCAAGCCAAGCTAGAGACTCATATTCGCCGTGTCGTGTGTCGGACAGTGCTGCTCGATAAAAATTAGGCTTGTAATGATGTTTTTATAACTAGGTAAAATTAAGTATCATTTTAAAATAATATCTACGATTGATAAATAACTAATACCTAAATAAACATTAATTGAGTTAATATTAATCTAGAAAATACACTTTAAAGCTATACATATAAAGTCAAGTATTTTAGATGTAGTATTAATTATGTAGATGATCTAATTCAATAAGATTTTTCAAAATGATCGATGCACATTATTTCGCTACAGACGGTACTCATATCTTGACATTGGACAGAAGTCAAAATATAGCGCTATAGTGTGTATGCATTAAGATTTTGATATTAAAAAAAATATATATTGAAAATGGCCCAAGTTTGAATGTTTTTTCAAATTATATTTTTTTTATTTTTTAAACATGAAATCAAGCGATAGAGACTTTATTATATGAGTTTATATAATAGTAGAACATAAATTCAAATTATACGTAATTTCGTAGGCTCAATGTAATTATATATATTTTTTTAAAGCAGTTAAGCGTGACCAAAAACTCAATTTTTATCACGAAGGACATCTGTTTTTTTTTGTAAGTAGGTAGTTGATTTACATAATTTTAATATTTTAGTGTTTAATCTCATTTTATTTGCTCAATATCAACTAAAGGTTAGGGTAAAAGTACGTAGGTAATTGTTCGATGCGCTTTTACTCTAGAATTAAGTAAGTATAATATAAAAATATTTATTTAGGTAGATTATAAAATCACGCTCTTTGTACGGGGGTAAAAAAATGCTGATGCTTCCCCATGGGCGGCGCTGATTGCTTACCACCAGGTTATCTGTCCTCTCGATTGCCGACCTATGATAATGGTTAATAACTGTTTAAGTTGTTAATGCACGTTTTCCGGTTTTAATAAATTATCAGGGTAAAAATTAGCCTTTGAAAAATTTACATTGATATGAATGTCGTTAAAAATTAGTATTTTTTTTTGTCTTCGCTATCAAGCCGATGAGTTATAGTTGGAGGTCAATGTTTTAATTAATTTCAAGTTTTTTTAAATATTTTTTTGTGACATTTTTGTGTTTATATTTTGTAACAATAGGTAAGTAAACAACTTCAAAGTGCTCGAAGACTACTTTTTTTTTCAATAGATTTTCAACTATACTGTTTTGGTATAAAGTTGTGATTTGTGTACCTAGCTACAAGCCCACAAACTCATAAACAGATAACAATCTGTACTTTGTAAAACGCAAAATTGCTACCGGTTCTCAAATTGGTTTAAATAAAAAAAAATTACAATGTACGGTCGATGGACAAGTTTTCCATTTTCCTCGTCATTCATTCACAAAAAAAAGGAAACTTGTTAGATGGTTAAACTATCAATTACCAAGAAGTATTGAGTAAACTAATCATAATTCGGTATCGGCATTGAAGCGTCCTGTAATGATTTAACTGCCGGTTACCTTGCCCTGCATCTTACCATCGTATGAATGGCAACTATGAAGTACTTTGAATGCACTGGTTGCTGTTCAACGCTACTGTCTACTACTGTCGTGGACTCGACTATTCGATTTATAAATCGTTGTTTCAGGTCTAGGTGGTTTCCGACTAGAACCAGACCCGAGCATACGGCGCCTAGCGCGCGCTTCAAAGACCCAATAGACCACCACAGACGGGGCCCTATAGGGCTGATGTTCAGCCGGGGTTGCGGGGTAAGCTCAATGAGTCACCGCGGCCTCGGCCGAGAGCAGTAGAAGGAACGGGGGTTTTTAGTCAATAATAGTCTGACACTCTCTTTAGAGGAGAGGAGAAGTTTTTTAATGACATTCCCCTGACAAAATGGGTGGATTGTGTATGCGAATTTGTATATTTCTAAACGTACCCATGACACAGGAGAAATTACTAGTGTGGGGCAAAATTACATTCTTTCTTACGTAATATTCGATGAGGTTGGATTGTTGAATATATGAGCAATGCTTGTAAAATCATCGCCATCAATCAAAACAATCGCCATAGTATAAGATCGTTTGCCAGTAAAAAAATACAGTATTGGTCAATAAGAAAATGAGAACAACAAACAAATACATAACGGAAGAAGATAAAAAAAATATTATATATTATATTCTGCAGATAGGCAGAAACATATAAATGGATTATAGCTGCAAAACAAAACATATTTACAATTTAAATACAGTGCTTAAATTGTCAACTGTTTTTTTTCTCTTGGCAATGTTTTCCCACAGTTTTATGACGTCTTTAAAAACAAATGTATTCCTGCCTATTTTGAATAATGCAGCGCAGAGAGCCCATCAGAAAATTATTACCAAAATATTAGGTATCACTACAAAACTACTATCATTTCTGAACAGTTGATAGAGTATAGAGTACGCACAACAGTAGCGACAACTAGTGTGATAAATTGGCACTTTTTATCCCTATTGCGCTTTGCAACCATTTTAGGAACGAAAAAGCATCGATCACTGAAAAATAACTTATCAGTGATCGATGCGAAAAAGAAAATTATAGTAATTAGGAAAAGTACCTACAGTTTGAGTACCTACTTACTAACTTTTTATTATACCTGTAGTGTTGTTATAATAATTAAATATTAAGTGCATTCTCTTATGCTAGATAATATTTAGTTGTGTCGGAAAAAGTAACCGATTTATGTGTCAGTTTATAGGTGAAGGTTTTTTTTTCGAATGCAGCTAAGCAATATAGTTGTGAGCGCCATTAAGGAAAGCTCCAAAATTGACTCCTTCGATGGAGGAATTAAATACATATTTTATTTAATACAAAGGCACAGTTAAGAAGACAAGGGCAATTGATTCATTAGAGCTAAGCTGTAGTACTCGACAGTACTTTCCTTGAGGCGAGATGAAGTAGGCTCGTAGCACAGTTTCATTCGCAAGCTAACGGCCAGTGCGACCTCGCGTGTGTCGTAGAAAAAAATATAATCATTCGTAATTCAAATTTTCGAATGTGGTGATTCCTATTTTAAATTTAAATTAATTTCTAGAATGACGTTCGTTAGTGCCTGACGAAGAATTATTGTTATTTTCTCTCTTAATAAATTTAATTCGTGTCGGATTATTGTTGCTGCATTGACATTTTTCTTGGTGAGTTATTTTATTTTTATGTTTTTTAGTGCAATTAAAAATTTGGCAAGGGCTCTTGCCAAATGTGAGACATTTTTTTTTTGGGTAAATAAAAAATTGGCAAGGACCCTTGCCAAATTTGTAAATGTAATCAAGGTCGAGAAATTTGTACCTTGATTTTGTATTATCCTAGATTTGAACATAACAATTGGAAAATACGTAATTTTTCTTACACGGGATTTGTATTCATGCGGAAATACCCTTACATTTTGTTTGACGCTCCTAGATAGATTGATAAGATAAGCACCTAAGGAAAAATAGATAAATAATAAAGGATATTAAACGGCTCTATTTTTACGTAATATAACAGTTCTTTAACAGGAAAATAAATTATGTTTGAGTTTTCCGTTTATGATGTAATTGCAGGGAACAGATACCTAGATGTAAACAAGAAGCCTTCGATATTTATTTATTGTGTGTAATGCAATAATCAATTCTATACATTCATAATAATTAATCTTAATTTCCCTTGTTCGTGACATCAACCGTGACCGGTTATACGGATTACGATTAACTCTTTTTTTACTATTAAGGTCATGTTTAATATTGTTTTTGGGATAGTAGTTGGGAACATTCAACATAGCATCCTTTTCTATGGTGTGGCAGTTTGCGAGCAATACAAGTAACTTACACTGACTTAGTTGGACTCCTGAGCGAAGAAAGGGCGGGGAACTAGTTTAAAAAATCCACGTGCTATCTCTTCGGTGGTCTATAGGATTCTTGATCGAGTAGGTACGGATAACATGGAAAAAATATTTAAATCTTGTTTTTTTTATTTAGGTCATCTGTCTTTATTATATTTTAATACATTATTAGGTTTATATAGTTTATAAATCGATAAAAAATAAGTGTGTCACACATCCTAATCTTTTCACCCAGTCAGGGAAACCCAATTTCCAAGACTTTATAGATTTGGACAGAAATTGACCTACTAACAAAATCTAAGCTAGCTTATTATTATTTAAATTGTATAATACATATTGATAAAATGAATTATTAAAGTCGGTTCTAAAATCAAAAATGCTTTTTTATGGAACAGTAGCATTAAGCTATCTGCTTCATGCACAGTAGCCGGGTAACCGGGGTGGCAAACTTGGCGTGAGTTCGACTCGCATTCGGGTCAACTCTTTGCTTGATGCACAAATTATTGTAACAAGACTAGGTGTGGTGTGTGTAATGAATGATGTTTGTTTTACAAATAATTTTATTTCAGAATAGTTTTATATTTTTACTATAAACATCCTCCTCTACATTAACTAAAATTCGCGGGTTACTCACGTGTAAATGTTGAGAAAAGCTCTACTAGTTTCGAACCACAGAGGGGTTCTTCCTCATGAGCAGCGTGCGCGGACGCGGCGACGTCGCGCAGCCTACTGGTTAGCGTTGGCGCCTGCATCGCTGTTGATGGTTGCGCTGCGGCGAGTCCAGCGCGCCATCTGCCGGATACCACGCGCGTTTGCTGCCATCTCCGGCGGCGGCACGTGTGACGATGTTGAGGCGCACGGTACGTTCACCAGTGGCGCGGGTAGTGGGTTCAATTCCGGGCCCGGCACAAAGTCTGTGTTACATATGACGCTTACTGTGTCACACTCCAGACTGGATACGCTTCGGACCGACGTAGTCTCCAAGCTCGGCTTCCACGCGGGTGGCAATGCCCAGCCACCATCCCTGTTGAAGCACGGACGTCGGCTAATCTCGATGGCCTCTCGCACTTTTCGCGGAACGAAGTATTTCTCCCTCGCTAGTACGGAGACCTTATCAAAACGTATGAAGTGAGCCGCATCCGTGCCGCAAACATGTTCAGCTACAGCCGATGCCTGGATGTCCATCTTCTTCACGCTACGTATATGTTCCTTTAGCCTGGTTGTGATGTTGCGCCGAGTTTCTCCGATGTAACTTGAGCCACAGTCGCAAGGTATAATGTACACACCGGGCACAGCTAGTGGATCCTTATCCTTTGGCGAGCGTAGCAGTTGTCTCAGCTGACCGGGTGGGCGGAAGATCGTCCTGATGCTATATTTACGTTGCAGCAGGTGTCCGATTCTGTCGGTTACTCCTTTCACGTATGGTAAGAACGCTGGAGTCCGCTCCGCAACTGCTGGTCGCTTCCTACTCGAGCTGCTCGCTAGTCGAGTACATTGACGCCAGTTGTATCCATTGTTCTCCAGTACCCTTTTTAAATGGTGAAGTTCGTCGTCAATGTACTGTGGATCGCATAGACTCAGCGCCCGGTTTATCAAAGTCCGCGGGACAGCGGCTAGGTGGGAGGGATGATGATGTGAGTCAGCTCGTAAGTATCGGTCTGTGTGTGTCGGTTTTCGATACACTGTGTGTGACAATCGACCACTTTCTTCTCGTCTTACGAGGACATCCAAGAACGGCAACATCCCTTCTCTCTCTTCTTCAGTGGTGAATTGTATACTGCCGTGCACTGAGTTCAAGTGTCCCACAAATTCAGCTACATGTTCCCGGTTGATGATTGCGAATACGTCATCGACGTACCTCCACCAGTATCGCGGTCTTACCGGGGCGGATGCCAAGGCTTGACCCTCAAACCACTCCATGAAGATGTTAGCCACCACTGGCGCCAGTGGCGACCCCATAGCCACTCCATCTACCTGCAGGTAGTATTCCCCTCTCCACAGGAAGTAACCTGTAGTGAGACAATGATTCACACACGCAATGTATCCAGTAGGTAAATCAGTATCCTTCAGTATGTTGGTGATAATCGAAGTTGCTTCTTCTACTGGTACATTTGTGAACAACGATGTTATGTCGAAACTCATCATCATCTCTGTGTCTTGGAGGTGAACATCGGCCAGTAAGGCGACGAAATGGCGAGAGTCCCTCACATAGGAGTCCGTTTTACCGGTAAATGGTTGCAGTATAGTAGCCAAATGACGCGACAGGTTGTAGGTAGGTGCGTCTATTTGACTGACTACAACTGGCGTCAATGTACTCGACTAGCGAGCAGCTCGAGTAGGAAGCGACCAGCAGTTGCGGAGCGGACTCCAGCGTTCTTACCCTACGTGAAAGGAGTAACCGACAGAATCGGACACCTGCTGCAACGTAAATATAGCATCAGGACGATCTTCCGCCCACCCGGTCAGCTGAGACAACTGCTACGCTCGCCAAAGGATAAGGATCCACTAGCTGTGCCCGGTGTGTACATTATACCTTGCGACTGTGGCTCAAGTTACATCGGAGAAACTCGGCGCAACATCACAACCAGGCTAAAGGAACATATACGTAGCGTGAAGAAGATGGACATCCAGGCATCGGCTGTAGCTGAACATGTTTGCGGCACGGATGCGGCTCACTTCATACGTTTTGATAAGGTCTCCGTACTAGCGAGGGAGAAATACTTCGTTCCGCGAAAAGTGCGAGAGGCCATCGAGATTAGCCGACGTCCGTGCTTCAACAGGGATGGTGGCTGGGCATTGCCACCCGCGTGGAAGCCGAGCTTGGAGACTACGTCGGTCCGAAGCGTATCCAGTCTGGAGTGTGACACAGTAAGCGTCATATGTAACACAGACTTTGTGCCGGGCCCGGAATTGAACCCACTACCCGCGCCACTGGTGAACGTACCGTGCGCCTCAACATCGTCACACGTGCCGCCGCCGGAGATGGCAGCAAACGCGCGTGGTATCCGGCAGATGGCGCGCTGGACTCGCCGCAGCGCAACCATCAACAGCGATGCAGGCGCCAACGCTAACCAGTAGGCTGCGCGACGTCGCCGCGTCCGCGCACGCTGCTCATGAGGAAGAACCCCTCTGTGGTTCGAAACTAGTAGAGCTTTTCTCAACATTTACACGTGAGTAACCCGCGAATTTTAGTTAATTTAGTATGTCTCACGATAGTTATTATAAAAACATCCTCCTCTACTATATTGCTATAATATTATTCTGCCAATCATTAACCAGTTATCTAGTCATAGTCATCAAGTCATTAAGATATAAAATCTTTAATTTAACCTAGTTTTAAACAACTTTACATTCCTTTTAAGTTACAGCCCTTATTTAATAAGCAATCTCTAATTGGAGTTTTTAGATCTCAAGCTTAATTTGCAGAGTTCCGTAACCAAGGGATAAAAACGGGGTCCCTATTATTTTTTGCATTCCGTCCAATCTTCTGTCACCAGATTGTAATATTATTGGGATAACAGGTCAAGACCAAAAAGGAACCGCGCTCTTGACGCGGAGCATGAGCAGGAACAAGGGTTTTTAGTCAGTAAGAGTCTGACATACCACTCGCCATACCCTGGGCCAAAAAAGTCATTTGATGATGGCCCTTCCCAAAATAAAGAGATTGTAATCATATAAATCGTGATTAGCAAAACTGTTGAAATTTTGACAGATGATAATAATAATAAAAAATATTTAAGGTGACCCATACGACAAACATGTTTTTTTTTGTAATTGATTGGCAAACGAGCAGACGCATTACCTGATGGTAAGCAATCAGCGCCACCCATGGGCACCCGCAACGGAGGAGTTACGAGTGCGTTGCCGACCTTTTAGGGATTAGGGATTTTGGAGATTTAGGGATTGAGGAGGGATTGGGGGAGGGGAAGAATTGGGCCTCCGGTAACCTCACTCACACGGCAAAACACAACGCTGAGGTTGTTTTACGCCGGTTTTCTGTGAGGCCGTGGTATCACTCCGGTCGCGCCGACCCATTCGTGCCGTAGCTTGGCTCTCCCACACTAATCGAATAATTAATATACTTTTATTACGGAACTCTTCGTGCGCCAAACCACAAGGCGCTGCGTTTCTGAGCCCATAATCGTGATTAAAAGGAGACAGGACTATGTTTACCAAAAAAAAAAGAGAAAAATCTTATAACCAACTTTATAGTCTTGGGCATGAAGACTCAATTTCAAACTACAAAACTAAGGACGAAATAGCCTAAAGACATCTATGGTGTAACGAATGGTTAGCAATCAGCAACGTCGCATGGTG